TTTTTATATTTTATTAAATAAATAAATACATTTAATATCATGAGTTTTAAATGAATAAAAAAATTAATCATTTAAATAATACAAAAAATTATATAACAAAATAAAACAAAAAGATTGATCTTAAATCATTTTCCATATTTCAAAGATATATTTTCTCCTCTCTGGCCTGGCATCCATCCTTCCACACGTAGACAAGCAGTAGAGTGTTACCGCAACATAATCTCCTCGGCGGTTTCAAGTTGCACGCTCTTGTTCTAACTAGCATTGTTACTCTCCGACGGCTCCATCACCATGAATATGACCGATGAAACCCAATTTCTTCATGTAAGAAAAAAAAAAATACATAATAAAAGATATGGGATTTTCCTTTTCTTTTCTTTTTTTTCACCGTCAGGACCGGGGGCAGGTATTGCAGATGTAAACCTAGCAGGTTAGGTGTAGAGTATAACTGTGCTATCCACAAGACAATTTGATTTACACCATGAAAATAGAGATGCCATATTCCTAGTCAATAAAGTACTATGACATATACATGAACGGCATCATAGGTGGTTACGTTCTAATTATCAGTGGAATTTCTACCTATTTTTGATGGTTTGCTCCTGAATTAGTCCATTTGAGAGAATTGAACCCTCAAACCATCTTAACCCTGCACCTTTATTCACAACTTGAGATGAGGCCTATTTGGTGCAACCCAATTGATCTGTTGCCAACCCTAAAAACATTTTCAGCTTCTTATTATTATTATTATTATTTTCTTTTGTCATAAGACATGGTATGCCAATATTCGATGGCATTTGTTATTTATGTCGCAAGTTGCAAATCACACTAAAAAGTCACAAACATAATTCTGTCCCTAAACATGTTTATATAACACCACTTGTGCAATGCAGTATTCGTCATATTACAGCAGAGTTTGGAGCAGCTGTTCTGCGAGCTGCTGTTGGTGAAGAATTGGCAGAAGGACATGGTGATGTGGGGCCCAAAGAGCTCATGCACATGTCAAAAGTACGAAATTTCTCGCCTTCTAACTTTTTTCTACTAAACAGTAAACTCCGTGCTCTTCTATTCTAAAACAATAATTTTTTATTTGCATAAGCATGATTATGAAAGGAAAATATTAAAAAAAAAATTGTTGTTTATGTCACTCGCAACATGTGGTACCCTGACTACAGCCCCCTAGTTCACGAGAAGTAGATTAACAATCAACTTTTTCAACCTTGGAGGCCAAATCTATGGACCGCAACTACTGTTCCAGATGAATTGCAAAAATTCATTTTTTTATCAATATCCTTTGTATGATTTAATAACATCCTTACATGCAAGTATATTCTAGAAACATTGACTAGGTCATCCTATCAACAACTTGAAGATGGATCCATCAAAACATTAAATTGATGATGAAGACGAGAACCCGCCTGGATTGAATTTTTCCACAGCACTCATTAATGGAGGGTTGGTAGTTGTGACGTTTGATGTCAATGGGTCCTATGGGATAAGGGAGTCTCTCCCTGTTTTTATTCCCGTGAATGACAAAAATGAGATTTCTATGGAGATTTTTAACGAGAGTAGATTTTATCCTTTATCTTCGTTTCTCATGAAAATTTTCATTTTTCATCAAATAATATTAAAAAATAATTTTTTACATATAATTAATTAATATTTAATTATAATAAATAAAATTTTAAAAATTCAAATATA